CAGGAGGAGCAAGAAAGAAATTAAGCAATGAAACAACTACTTATCAATTTTTAAACATCCATGCCGTGTGGTCGAGTCTCATGATTCATAGAAAAGCAATTCCAAAATTAAACACCTATAAGCACCAGCAAGAGAGACACAGCACAAGGGATTTTATTATTTCTTTACTTTGTGTTAATGCAATGTATATGTTGGTCATCAGTACACTGTGGGAGCTAGCATTGAAAATGAAGTAGTTTCAAGTAACTATAGCCTTTCAGTTTCACAAATATTGCCAATAGGTTTAATGATGCTCTGTTTGCCTGCATTTAATTGTTTTGTAATGCAAACATTTGGTCAAGGTATCCACTTAAGAACTGTGCTTGCTGATCCAGGTGTAGATTTTTAGACTTGTGCACAATAGAAACACCTCTAAAAGACTATGTATGCAAATTCCCAATCAGATGGTTAATTCTTTACACATCTATACTGATGCAGGGCTTCTGAGCCAGCACAAAGGTTAGATACCTGTATTTGAAAATCAGCCCTGTAACTTGTTCCAAGTAGAATTTAATAAAACAAAATGTGAAAAAAAGTAAGCCAAGCTATTTACTCTTAGGTTCAAATTATTACTACTTGGAATTGTTTGGAAAACAAATGCAATATTTTTGTGATTAGACCCTTGCTCTATGAAAGTACTTGAGAAACTGTACAACTGTGAGCATCAGAGCAGTCGTGTTAATGAAATTACTACCTATATACTAGAATTATCCACTTATTTTAAGTGATTTGCTGGATCAAAGCCTTTCTTTTTCAATTAGAGCAGCAGAGCTAAATTAATGTAACAACTTCACTTTGGAAAAAATAACAGACCAAAGATATCTGTATCACTGGAGATATTAGAGAAGGGAAAGAAAATAAAAGGTATCTGTAGGAACTGCCCTTCTTAGTACCACACTACATCAAATACTCTTCTGTTCAACATATACACTTTTTTTTTTTAACCTAGAAGATTAAAATGCATTTCATTTCAAACCTCATAACAAAACTCTGCACTACTTCAGTTTGTGTAGGAGTGGAAGATGTTAACGCTGAGAGAACTCGGACAAAAATGAGATTTAAAATGCTACCTCTACTTTTTAGCAGAGGTAAACAGCACATTATAAATCTCCAGCGTAGCCTATTGAAGTGTCAGAACAGCTCATTCAAAGCCACACATTCTCTTCTGAAAGATTTTAGTATTATAATTGAAAATACTCTCCCTTCAGATGCACCTGAGAAGCATTAGCTTCTTGGTGACTTTAAGAACCAAATCCTTTAATACAAACCTAGCTTTTCCCACAGGCACTTGAAAATATTTAGCATTTTTTCAGCTGAATGCAATTTTCATAATAAAGTAGCTCACTTGGCTACCTGACACTGCAGACAAAGGCAGCGCGCAAGCAGCTCCTGCCAACGTGGGCAGAGGTCGGCCTGAACACCCAATGGCTGTAACATTTCCAGCGAGTTATTTGTACAAGCACATATGTATTTTATTCCCTAGCATTCAGCTACAGCTCTTGCACACTGGACGCCTTTCAGTCAGCCTTCATGGAGGATAAAACACGCCCTAAATTTCTGCAGCATTTCAGCTCCACTTTGATGGCTGATTTTGGGCACTAAGGAAGCCCTTTGCTGCTCCAAAACAAATCGGAATGCCACATTTTAATGTCTGTATTTAGGGCTGGTGATCAGAATTTCCTTAATCTAATATCCCTCCTGCTCTGGAATAGATTCCTGCACACACACGCAGTCCTTTTGGAGCTGCACTGACTCATCTCTAATGAGGCTCAATTTCTTAGGGAACTGCTCACTCGCATTTCACTGGCAAACCTCTGAGAAAAGTATGGGAATGAGGTGTTTGGTTTGCTGTTTGCTTTTTCTGTGCCAAAATACCCAGTCCACCCTATCAAATCAGAAACGTTTGTATTTCACTCTATCGCTGGCAGTTTTAAGGGCATGGCTTTAGAACTCCAGGCCGTTTTGTTAAATCAAGCTGCACGACGATCCCGTTTTACCTTCATCCACTTAGCCTACTAATGCAGGCTAATACTGCATGTTCTGTGGCAGCAAAACCTAAAGCGTACCAAGAGACTACAGTGATAGATTACATGTACATGCTGTGTCATATCCAATTAACTCAAATTGACTGTGTACTGCATTATGCTGTTAGTGCATGGAAGATCAATAAATATGGAGAAAATCCAACAAGGCTCTCTCCATTCCCATCCAATTCTAGTAGGTCTGAGACAGATCATGCTCCTATGATGTGTGTGCTGCTGCTGAAGAGGGCAGGTGGTGCATAGACACCATTCAAACTTGGCCTATTCAATCTAAACTCCTCTAACTCTCCATTCATGCATAGCAAAACACCATCTGGTCCTATTTTGCCTCCAGCAATCACAGCTGACCAAAAACGATAATAACAGCTGTTGCAAAACAAAAGCCAAACAAAGGGGGGAGGGAAAGGTTAGAATGAAGTCCAGTGCTGAAAAATACTCCATGAAGTAAGAAATGGAAAAGGAGCCATTCAAAAGTCCAATCCCCATTGAAAAGAGACAGAGCAAGACTACTGGTTAAACTTGAGATATTTAATCCATCTGTCCTGCAAACCACAATGGTCAGGTGATAAAATAAAATTGAGATTATGTTGCATAGAGGTATTTAAAGCCTTTGTTCTTCAAGTTAGAAACCAATGACCCTGTGTCAGCTAAAAATTAAACCTCCTTATGTTCTTTCATCATATGTCAACCTGGGTTAATGTGAAAGTAGAATGTGGTTAACTGGGGTGATAAAGCATCTGAAACCTTGGGAAAAGAAGGGAGCAGTTAAGTACTTGTAAACGATACGAAGAAAACAGTCTTTAAAACATGTATGACACTGAAATCATGGCTAAGGCATTTTTTCCTGTATAAATTTCATAGTAAGTGATTTAAATTAACAGTTTTATTTGTGACCTACGATAGCGAAGTTATTCACTTAGACGTAGAGAATATGAACTCCAACTTGCACAGTTTGAAACACAAGATGTTCTGCAATATGCTATTGCGGGTAATGGAAAATATAATTCTGTAGCAAGCAGGGGGATGCTCCAGTTTTCCATGATTGAAATTTTGATATTTAAACTGTTCAGTCCTGCTTGATGATTAATTTTTTTAGCTGCGGCAATTAAAACTTTTTTTTTTTTTTTTTTTTTTTTTTTTTTCCCCTGGAATTGACCATCAGTAGTTCAGCAGCTCTTAATCAAATGTGATAAAACCCAGGATTTATGAAATCATTTAATGAGTATAATAACACCTGCTTCTTACCACAAATAGTTGAAAACAGACTTCAGTTGTAATTAACTCTTATCACTAGTGACATTTTTCCCAACGATACTTCATAGGTCTTCAAAATGACAATTACAGAACTAATACACAATTACTGTCACATGCAGTTTGGCAATTATTTCTGAAGACAGTTGTCTAAAGGTTTCAAAAAGACTATAAAATGGTCCTCTTTGTTATGTAACACTGGTTAAAACTGACACAAAACCATCTTTCACAACCAGCCTCTGCTGTGCCATTTCCAATGCACACAGGCTTCCTTGTGCCTGAAATAAGCCCCCTCCCTCCCAGACACGATTAGATATCACACGAAGGCTATTACGAGCATGGGTAGCCGTCAACTAACACCTATTACAAAAAGCTTCAATTTATACATGATTTTTTCTGCTCCAAGAAATCTATAAATTTCTAATTGGAATCTCTTGCTGTTCAATATTTGTAGATAATAAACAGAGTACCTGAGGACTGTGAAATATTGAAAGCTGAATTCATTATTAATAAACTCGCACAGCACAGTACCTTTTCCCTCAAGTCTGTCTGCAACTTTTGGGGGATCTATATCCCATTATTTTTGTTCTGGGGCCTGGTCGGTAACCATGGACACGGCCTGAGACAGGATTAGGATTCTGCTCGGGTTTGACACTTGCTGTTTTTAATTTTCATTTTATCATAAGCAGTTTAAGATTGTTGCCAGTGGTAATTTGCAATTTTTATCAAGACCTCTTCATTATAGCTCCTGACAGGACAGATGCTGTAATTAATCATGCAAGACAACTGGGGATAGTGGTCAGGCTGCACCCAGCACACAGCAATAGCAGGCAGGGATGGGAAAGAAGAAAGGAAGGGTTTTTCTCCTCCATCAAGAGCAGAGATGTAGAAAGAGCGTTAATATCTTGCCAACATGTTGGATGCAAATGTTTCCAAATATTTCCAGTGAAACAGCTTCCTCTACACCCACTGCTCCCTGCTTGCACCATTCAGCACCAGCCAGCGTCTGGGACAAGCCAGGGGCTCGTGGGCTCAGGACACCGGTTGGGCTTACAGCAAAAACACAAGGACACGAGGAAAACCCCAAACTGTACTTATTTGCATCCCTGAGTGGCTAAGACAGGCTCCTTACCCCGTTCCCACTGATAGACGTAACATGGGGTGGATGAGCGCTCTGCGCCATCATCGCTGCACCACCTGCTCTCGCACCTCGAAGCCACAGCCTGCTCAGAGGAGCTGCATGCCCCCCTCCAGCCATGGACTTACAGACACCAGAGCTGGCTGCACAGACCAGTACCTATTTACACAGCATGGCTGAGACACTCAAATCCAGAAAGTGGAATAAAGTGCCAGAGAAAGCAGTTCTGCAAGGAAACATTTCTCTTGGTTATTTTTCTTATCAAAGACTTGTGGCCCATCGGTTTTACTGAAATGTGTTTATTCTATAGCAAGATAAAAGCATTTATTTTAGATAAGCAAAATACAAACAACTTAATTGCTGCTATCGTAACTCATAAAAAAGTATAAAACAGCATAAAAACACAATAAGCAATGTAGCAATTAATAATTCATGTTACCAGTGTTTACATTAAAGCCTCATTTATGAAAACTTTACAACACATGATATGAAAAGTTACAACTTTTAAAGAAAATATTTACATTGATTATTCGGTCGTGGAGTTTCTTTTAAATATTCTACTGGTTTTACAGCGTATTAAAAACTCTTGCATTTTTCATCTTAGCTTTTTGTAATAACAGCCTTAGTTAAGTGCATTTCCGTTTTAAAAATACAGTGTATTAAATCTGAAACTCATCACTTCCACACAGAATATAATATTCACATTTGTTCTGTAATTGGAATTAATGTAATAGGGTAACTGTCAATATATATTTTGTTACAAACTATGGTAAGTTTATCGGGAGGAATGAAGTGAAAGGATGGGTCAAACATTGAAGTTCAGTTACTTGCATTTGCTTTTCTGAAGATATTTAGGACAGAAATTTAAGAGCTTTGGCAAAAATCTGTGACATACTCTATTTTTTTTTTTCATGAGAAAAAATGCCATCAACGAACTCATGTCATAAAAGTATGACTGTATGAAATCCAATCATCATTTTACAGGTAGTTACAACTGTGCTTTAAGGGCTTCATGAGTTCATACTGCCTTGAAGTGCATTATTCACTTTTAGAGAAATCTGTAACTCTGAAAGGCCATGTTGCAGTCATAAGGTTCAGGTATTTATTAGGCCATTTGATTCACATATTGTAGGTAAAGCTTAAATAAATTAAAAAGGCATCACATGAAAGAGAGCACAGCTTTTTTTTTTTTTTAAACAAAATGATTTATAGTCAGCTAAAAGATGATACACAGCTACATTGTAGTTCTTTATTGCCTATCTAATAGACACTTTAGAGGATCATTTGATCTGTTATGCATCCCTGCATAACTACCATCAACAATTTACAGTTTTCAGCCAAATATGGTTTACCCCTACCCCCTCCATCAACACAAAGCGATGCTGTGAGATCATTTATCTTCAGAAAATACTGACCTGTGATAATACTTGAGTCTGTGTCTGAGATTGTATTTGTGACTGGTGCTGCTGAGGTGCTGGCTGAGGGCTCCCAATGGCAGGGATGGGAGAAGTGATCTGAGAGGCAACTGGCGAGTGCTGCTGAGGAGAAGGCTGTGACTGGTGTTGCATATGCTGCATCTGCTGCTGCTGCATCTGCTGAAGTTGTATGTGCTGAAGCTGCTGTTGCATTTGCTGTTGGTTAATTTGCTGCTGAAGATGCTGCTGCTGCTGCTGCAAATGTTGTTGCATGTGGTGCTGAAAATGCTGTTGTTGCATTTGTTGTTGTATCTGCTGATGCATTTGATGCTGATGTAGCTGCTGTTGTTGCATCTGCTGCATCTGTTGCTGCTGCAGCTGCTGTATCTGGTGCTGCTGGCTTTGCATGGAGGGACTTACTTGAGATGAAGACGGCGTTGCCACCATGTTTGTTCCCATAGAACTTATCAATGGAGCTGCAATGTTTGTCGGCATGTTTGATGCAATGGTAACAGAAGCTACAATCTGATTCATTGGCAGTCTCATGGTCAGAGGTTTGGGAGCAATTGCTCTGGGAAGGGACTGTTGAAGAGTTTGAGGAGATGCCGATACTGCGGCATGTTGAGAGAGAGAAGTATTCAGAATAAGGGAGGAAGACAAATTTGTGGATGCCAATGTTTGCTGCACAGAACGAATCGTCTGGGCCTCAGCAGACTCTGCAGCAGCCTATGTTTGGAAAAGAAATTGAAGAACAGGTATTGCTAAAAGTAGACATAATCCTGTATTGAGCTTAAAAAAATCACCAAACCTGTTCCTTCCCCCTCAAATCTCACGAGCTGCTCAGTGGAAAGTCTGCCCTAGAGAATTTGTCCAATTATTATAATAGTCTATTTAGGAAATGCAGTTCAAAATCTCGCTTGAGTTGCCTGTTTTCTTCATCCAATCTGAACTTTTACTATCTCAGTTCTTATTTATCCTCTCTCAGTACCTAAATCTAGCTGTTTGATATATATTTAGAAATGTTATGAACCTTGGCTCAGTTTGACCTGATCAATTGAAGTTACCTTGTGTTCTTAATAAAAAAAAACTTTGTTACTGTTTAAATGGAAAGAAAAGTCACAAATACTCTGAGAGACTTTTTCATCCTCTGTTTTCCATGGGGAAACATCAATCAGCAGTCTGAGAAAGGTCGCTGGTCCATTGCATTACACCTCTGTCTCTCTCTGTACAAGGTACCTTCAAGCTCCTACTTAGATTCCAGTTCTTAGACAACAAATTAACTTGTGCCCTGGTTCAACATCAGAAATCTGTAGTACTTCATCTGGCTGAAAGAGCTAAAACAGTCTCTATTTATGTGTTAAAACAAAACAAAACAAAACAAAAAACCAACGCTGTTCTGAGGAGAAGCATATCCCACTACATCACTTCTGATGGCATAGAGGTATTGTACAAGCACCAAAACTTATCAAACAACTTTTTATATTAGCTCACTGTAGTTCTTCCCTTCTAAGGCATTAAGTCCAAAATATTCTCAGCAGAAAGAAGTCTAAGGGAGCATTGTGAAGACAGAAGCCCAGAATCACTGGAAGCAGCATGGCTACATCAGCAGGTGCCCTGCTTAGAACAACCTGCCTAATTCCACTGTCATGGAGCTTTCTGATGAGAGATACCTGCAGGAAAACTTTGTTCTGAGGCTTTCTAGTGCCTTTGAAGACATGGCTATGTTTGAATATACTGAGTATGTTTAAATTAGATATGATTAAGCATCAGAAGTAGGATCATCTTGCATAGTTTTACACATCTGCATTGTATAAGACATGTAATATAGTTGCCTAGAATTCTGTTAAGGTGATGGAGAGAAAAATTCTCATCCCATACAATAATAGATATTTTTTAGACATTTACCTTAGAATGCATCAAATCTTGCCTCAGGAGTGCTTATTCTGTATCTACTCTCAACAACAACCTTTGACAGAAAAGCAACAGCAAAGATATCTTAAGGTTGGTGGAGATGAATTCTGGACATGGAGTGTAATTTCCACTCACAGTCTTCTCAGAAGTCACTCAGCAGCACAAGTCCCACCAATTAGGGCAGAAAATATGATCTCTGTTGTTTTTGAAAAGGGAATTTAGGACTGACAAGATACATTCCCTCAAAGCAACAATTTAGAATTGCTGCTGCCATTGAACTTAGCATCATGATATTAAAGACTGAGAATATTATCTAAGTCCTAGAGACAACAGAAAAACACAGTTTCATAACACAAGGAAATCTTCCAGCTTTCAAGAATGCATGTGTCTAATTTCTGTTGTTGTATTTCTAAGCACTAATTAAAATATGCAGCACCTTTCTGTGCTACTTCCTAATGCTCTGTAGTTGTACATTTAAATAAGCATTCTCAGGAACTAGATCTCATCAGTTGCTGTTGCTTTCCTGTGATCAAGGGCATTTTTGTATTTGGTCTTTAAGAAATGTTATTAGAGAAATGACTGCCTTGATTTTCACACATGTATTAGAATCCTGTTTTCATTTGTAGTGTCCAGAGGCAGCAGATATACAATCAGCCTCATGCTATCAGTTAAAAAGGTAAATTCTCAAATCTGAGACCAAAGCTTTGTTTTCTTCACATGTGTTTCATACTAAGTAGGGATCTGCTCTGATACTCAACATGACTCACTGCCAGCCAGTCCTTTTGTAAGTATTCTCCAAATTCAGAGCCACCACACAAATTTTTTCCCCCTCACCTGCAAGAAATACTTAAGCTTTGCCACACAATTACAGCTCTTCAAGCCCATGCAAAACAAGTCTGTCTTTTGGGAAGAATCACTTGAGGAAAAGGGAAAAAAAACAAAAACCCAACAGCAAAAAAAAACAAAAAACAATTCTGCAAATAGCTTGTAAATGTTAATGTCAAAAGGTCGGCATATTTTTCATGACTGAATTTTACTTCTGTAGTGAAGTGCATTATTTTGCTTCCCAGGATAATGGAAGATGTACGCGCTTACAAAGTTCTTGTTTGGTAATCATTACAGTGCCATTAAAGAGATGAAATTTCTTTGCAGAGGCCACACAGGGTTCAAGCAGCAGCACATCTTTTAGAATTGCATTACAGAAATCTTAGGATTCTACTTTTGTTTTGCATTACACCGCACTCCTACCCCCATTATTAAGGAAAACATTGCCAAAAACAAACTTGCATTATGCAGAAAGCATTATCAGGCTTACCTTGGAAACAAGGCTTGCTCTATAGGCTGCAAGTGCCTTTAGGTATTCTTTTTTGGCAGCTTCCGTTTTTCTTTTATATACCTATTAAAAGAGACCACAATTTCACCAACTTCAATTATTAAGAAGTTTTAGCCAGAATGCTCTCAGAATCCCTTGCAACAAAACCAAAAGCTCAGATCAACAATCCAAAAACACTTTTACTTCATGAGGGCTTTTTCTTCCCTGGAAGTTTTAAATATTCCTGCAGGTGGCCACAGACTTTCAGGTCCACTTGCTGGAATGTCACCACAATGTAAGTCCATTTATCACATAGAAAAAAAACAACTGCTAGAGTAGCCAACTGTTTGACAAGACCAGTTATGCACACTGCATCTTCCTAGAAAATGATATTTTACTGACACTGAGTATTTCACGTGCTGAAAAGTATCTGAAGTAGTACAAAGCAGCCAAAAAAAAAAAAAAAAGGAAAATGTGGTTCACAGAGTTTTGACAATTCACTTTCCCCAAAGTCAGTATTAGAGAATCCCACAGAGCTTCAGTAGAACAGTTAAACAAAAAGTGAATCAATCTGTATTTCTAATCAGCACTACATATAAAGATCATCCTTCAATCATGATCATCGTCTGTGAGATATCATCATCTGTCAGACTGCTAAGTGTGACTGGGAGCTGCACGGTGCATCAACAGGCAAAGAGCCCCAGAGGATTTTTTTTCCAATCTATGCGTAGGAGTTACATGTGTATAGCAAGAAGAATAACCCTCAAGGAAGAACAAAACTCATCATTCTGTACCAATTTTGAGTTGGAGATAACATTTCACACACAACATGGTAATGAGGCACAGAGGATTGGCTTCAAAGGTTTAAAATCAACACGCTTTGTAACAAATTCATAAGGCAGATCAAAGGAAATGGTAAATGTGTTGTACCTTCCCCTTTTCTATTCTAACTTGTGATTAATAGGAAATAAGAGCTTTGAAATGAGAATCATCAAAAGGTGGTCTTAAGCAAGACTCCAGGACAGTATCACTTGAGCTTTTTACAAAGTGCCCTTTAAAATTTAAAGACAGTTACTGAACACGATCTACTGACTCTTATAACAAAATGCTTTTTAGATGCCAGATTTTCAGCAAGTTCAAAAATCAATGGAGCTCTGCAGAGCAAGAGGTCTACATCAGCAAGCAGTGAGCTCAGCTCCGAGATAGGAGGATTTTTTACAAGCAATAACTATTTTACTTCTTGTGAGACAACCCTCCATCCATTTTTTACCTGTTTTTGTTCTTCTCCTAAACTGTCCCACATAGATGCCACTATTTTTGAAACCTCTCCAAACGTAGCATTTGGGTTCTGCCCTTTAATTGCAGCTTGTGTATCCCTGAAGAAAAGGGCATATGCTGACACTGGCTTTTGTGGCTCATTGGGATCTTTCTTTTTCTTCTTCTTTGGAGTTTTCGGCTTCTTGCCAGAATCTGGGGCAGCTCTTTTTTCTCCGGTAGCCTAAGAAACAGTAGTAACAGGAACAGTCCACATACACATGAAATGGAAGTCAGAGGAATTCTGAATAATTATTGTCAGTCTGGCTTATTAATAAATGGATATAAATTCCTATGTAGGCAACATTTTGTATACTCCTGTTACGTGGGTCTTTCTCCCACCAAATAGCACTTATTCTCAGTCATTCTCATCAGAACCACTGGAACTAAATACCAAAATTATTACCACTCACTGTAAGCATGGCTCAGAATCATTCCCAGAAGCCTGACCTCAAAATCTGCACCATAACTAACTTCAATTTAATATATACATATGCATGTATTCAATCTATAGTGTACTTTGAGCAGGTGATCTATATTTCTCCATTAAAACGCAATTTCGGCAGTAGAGACTCAAAAGAGAAGAGCTTGGAGGCATTCCCTGATTCCCAGACTTAGGCTGCCAGCTTAGACATGGGTCAGAGCAGCAGCAGTTCTGCAGTATCTATTCAAGCACAATGGACCACCCTGTGCCCAACACCTTCTTCCAAGGCTTCTCACGTGGGGTCAGGTGCCCACACAGCAGCATCCTACACCTACATCTCCTACCACCTTAAAGGGGAAACCTTTAGATCAGCACTTCAAGGACTGCCAGTATCTCCAATCCTCATATACTCCTCATGCCCCATACCTTCCTCTGGACTACACACAGATTGTGGCAACAAGGGCTGCCACGTTGAGTGGCTCTAACTACATTTCTATTGTCTTTGTTTAACTTTGTCATTGTTTAACATTGATATTTTAAGAATGCTGAATGGAATCGTCTTTCCATATATACAATTTCCATTAAGCTAATGAGAAAATCTTTCATCAAGCAGTCTGAATTAGCACTGTATGTGTAGTGCTATAACATTTTCCTTTTGTAACAGGTTAATTTAAAGCAAACTGTAAATTAAGTAAGCTTTCAGACAGAAGAAAGTTTATTTTATTTTTGTCTAAATGCATCTGTATCTTAAATGACTCCAGAGAATATCAAAATGAAAAAATTCCCAAAGTTGAGGAGTAAAGAGATTCACCAGATCTATAAAATCTAAAATGAACCATGAATGTATTCAACTGAAAATATATGAACGGATATGTATATTTTAGCATCTATTATGGAGGTATCATGAAAGCCTCCTAAATCAGAAGCTAAACAGTAAATAAATGACATAGCTGACCGTATGTTAAAGCATACATATTTTGTATGATCACTTGGCAGCTGAGACAGTACTGCCACATTAATGAAAACACAGTATATAGCCACGTAAAGCTTACTCACTGCAACGCATGGATTAACTTACTCTATTTGATTCATCTGCATCTTCTTCATTTATCGAGCTGGAGGGGGAAGGAGTGGCTGATTTACTGGCAGGAGGGGAGGGAGAAGTGTGTGGCATGTTGGTGCCTCCCAGATTTAGCCCCAGCTGTGCACTTAGCTGGGACTGGTTAATGGTGGTGAGCTGAGAGGGAGTCATAATTCCCGAGTGAGCAGCATCCGTCATGTGGACAATGGATCTCATAATCAAAGAGTGGTCTTGGCGGTACTGCGAAACTTGGGTGTGACTCTGATCCTAAAAGAGAGTGAAACAGTTATTAGCAGTGATCATACAGCATTAGCAAATCATTTTCACTGGCTCACAGAACTGACACTGTCAACTTTCATTTTGTTTGGTTTCTTTTCAACAGATCAATAAACCGAACACAGCAACAGTTACGGTACTTGTCTCAGACTTTGCTTCTCCCCTTTGCTGGATTTTCTTGGGTAATAAAATTTTTTATTTCCTTATTTTAAAGTAATTTTTTTTTCTCTTGATGCTGTGCAAATACCCACATAAACAACCGCCTGTCTGATGATGCAGGGAAAACATTGCAGCAGAGTGGAGACAAACTGCTGTCAAATGCAGAAAGCAAACAAAATGGGGAGGGAGAAGAGAGAGAAAAAGCATCTTCCTCTGATATTCAATTATTCATAGCTGTTACCAGTAACAGTAGTAGGTATAAAACAACTCTCTTTAAAGTAACTTCCAAATCCCCTTCAGACAAAGAACGTTGCCCTGCCACATCTCAAGTGCAGACACAGCAGCACACTGGAGAACCGTTCGAGTAATCCTAATCACTCCTAAAAACCCCTTTTTGCCAGCACCACACAAAAGTATACATTTTTATCTTTAATCCAACAATCAAACACATGTGGAAGTAGCACACCCACTTTATTTTCTTGCACTTCATGCCTCAGAAACTTAAGTGCTTGCATGTTTTTGTCTCTGCTGTTTCTTGAGGGCTAAAACTAAGTCATCTTCTCCATCTACACAACACTTATCACAATTGTAAACAAAATGAAGTCAGACCCCAAAGGTAGAAGTCAACTGGAATCTGACTACGAACAACTTGGTTTTGTTATTTTTAACCACACAAAGATCAATAGACACTTAAAGAACATTTAAACAGAAAAGAAGATTTTTAAACCAGTCAGAAAGTGGGGAGAATAATTAGCTCACAAATTGATTGAGCAACTTGGCCAATCTATACCCATTGTTCAAACAGTCAGAATCATAGGAAATGCAATAGATTTTGAAAACTTTTGTTATTAATAACCCACATTGCAATCAGCATCAGGTACAATGATCCTTAGTGAAATACCGTAGAAGAGAATTGCAATGCTGGAAGTCCAGCACAGGGGCCCATCTGAGCTCCATGAAGCACTGTGACTTTTCCAGGGCACTCAGATTTTATCTGAAGTGCTCAAAAACCTGCATCAGCATTGAGGATTGTCCTGAGTGACTTTCTTCTTGCTCATGCCCCAGCAGAGGCAGTGGGCTCAGCGCTCCTGAACACCTCCTAGCCTGGCCCCATGCAGCACAGAGATGCAGTGCACTTGTAAAGGAAGATGCATGCCCTGCCTCATCCACATATTGTCGCCCCTGGGTCCCGTACAGATGAAGTTAACTGTGCATGTTCATGCTCAAGGTGCTATACTGGGCCTCATCCTCATTTTCCCCTGCCTACCAAGAAGATGCTAGCATAGTTCATCATCCATACTGCAACACATCACTATTCCTACTTCAGAAGCTTTTAATATTTTCAGCAAAGGAGCATAGTTCCTCAGAGATGAATGCCTGTGCCAACAGTGGAGCACTGATACAGAAAGATCAAAACATCAGACTTACTGGCTGAAATACCCACTTGCTTCAGGGCACCTTTCTGTGAAAATTTACTACCGTTAACTAGAGGGTCATTTTGATTCAAAATTGTATTGACAGCGGCATCTGGAAGTCATTCAAAGTCTTTTTAAAAGGATATCACTTTCTGCATATTAGCCCGTTCCTTTCTAGTTTACAGACATTGCTTTATTGCATTAAGAAAAAAGTGTTGTTAAAGCAAAAGTCGAGATCATCACAATTACTTTCTCTCATAAAAATCAACTTCAACATTTTGCGTGCAGCTCTTTCATAGTGGTGCTCTATGCCTAAAAGGCCTTTGCTCTCTATTGTTATACAAAACAGGCCTTTTTGGCCTTTACACCAAGGCAACAAAATATGACGACACGGGTTACAAGCGGTTTACTCCAAGTCTTGTCATTTTGGTTGCATCTATGATTTTACTGAGACTAAATTCTCTTGACTTGTACTGACCCAGAATCTAATTTTATACACAAGCCCATGAATTCTTAAATGCCCCTTCTGAGACAATTTGATGCTTCTGTGTTTGTTTTGTTTAATACCCGTTTTTCTTTTTCTATCTCTTTTCCTAATTTGTAAGCTACTTCTTAAATCTTTAAAAACTTCACCAGAGGTTAGAAATAGAAACAACAATATTTTGTAAATGACTACCTAGCGCAGGTAAAACCTATTATATGTATATGAAAAAAAAATAATAATATCATTTCCGATCTCATTTACATCTATGTGCATACTATAAATATTAACAATCTTTTTTCTGCATTTTGAATTAAAGTTCTTTGGTTAATCACATCTCAAAAAAAGAAAATCACAATGAAAAGAATAGGAATTTTGTTTTTATTTTGTGGCTGTGGTGGGCCTCTATAGCCTCCTGGAACATACAGAAGAGCTTTCAGACAAGGAAGCACAAGTCTTCTTGTACAGAGGTTTGGTGCCTAGCAAGAAGCCAGGGGAGATAGTCAATAGTAACACTGAGGTTCATAGCATTTGTATAGAAACTCTGAGTAAGCAAAATCTATCTGAAGAGGAATATATAATCAAGTACACAAGTTTTCCATCAATTTTCTCAACCCTTGTTTTTTTCGTCTATTACAACGACCAGTATTGAACCAAAAAGATCAGCATTTCATTATTCATGAAATGTTTACCAAATAAATGTTTAACACCAAAAACATACCAAGGGTACAAATGGAAGTACAATTGTACTAAAGCATCTGCAAGACACCCTAATTACATTACCAGGTGAAAATTGAAAACTGAAAAGGCAAAGCTTGTGCATTCAAAATAATCCACCAAGAATGTTGTGAACATTTTAGAGAATATTGCATGCTCTTTTCTTACATAAGCTTAACTAGAAGTAGAAGGGATATGTAAGTATTATATGCATTTAGGATTTTCATAGTATAATGCAGAAATGACAGATCAGTGCTTAAAAAAATTCATGAGCTTCTTGAGAGAACAGAATCAAGTGTTGAGTGAGCTTAATCTGCTTTATTGTTTTAAACTGAAGTTAGGCAAAGCCCGGTGGTTTTCACATAAAGCCAGACAATACTCAACCTCTTGTTTACTCAGCTTAACAAGCAAACAAGGACATAATGGGTGAAAAGGAACACAAAGGAGAAATTACATTTGTGATTCCAATGACAATTTCAGATTTCTGCTGTAATCCTACATGAGTGAGACTATGCATAGGTATATCAATCTTTTCTATCACAGCTGCATACATCCAATAGTAGCCGTTGTGAAGACTTGCAGCATTTGATGTGCAAAAAATATCATCAAAGGCATGAGGATATCCATCTACCCTACTCTCAACTTCTCTCATTTATTTGGTCATTCCAAAAGAAGTCCTATTTAGTCATTTTTAGAAGTCATACCAAAGAACATGGCACATGGCACATGCCAAGTACATAGCCTATTTTATTTTGATTCATAGAAGTATTAAGTTTTCAAAGTTTGATAGAAATCAGTAGCTCAGCATCCAATGGAAAGCAAACAGAATAATGGGATTAAAAAAAAAAAAAAGTATAAACTCCAACACTTTAATTTATACTGTGTATACTAGTAAAGGTGTTTTGCAACAATCCAGCCAAAGAGATGCATACCATTGAGTACTAGGGTAAATTATGGCAATAAAAGATTATTCTTCTGATATGAAGTCATTAGGCACTCAGTAAGTAATATAGTTAGTGCTTATTTTGATAAACAAACAGTAGCCAGCCATGACCTCTAGAGATATCCTAACATCCACCTGGCAATTTGAGCATCATTTGCAGACAATATTAGAATATTTTGAGTAATACTGACGATTAAAATCAAAGCCAACAATATTCAATCATGTAAACAAGCAACACCAAGATTCTTCCTAGCTGCATCAAGATTGAGTCCAGGGAAGTGCCTACAAGGAGACATAAGCCTAGGATCTGACCCTATACTACTGCTTGAACCATTTTTTTTAAGGGACATGGCTAAGACTGTGGTAAATCTGCCAACAAAAAGAACTATGCAAAAGCTAACATTTATGTTTATGTTCACCGTGCCCTGGTTTTGGAAGTTGACTTAAAACATTATGTATTCTTTTGCCTCAGGAATTTGTCACTGTCAGTGTAACATAAGCTGATGTAATATTTTAAAGGATAAATTCAAGTTGAAGCAAATGCGCTGCAATATGAAGAGTGGAATCCTCAGTTGTCCCTGTCTCTAAATTACTCCTGTTACTTATGGGCAAGTAAGCATATCTCTATAAGAAATCCTCAATACTCTTTTCCTCCGCAAGTAAAATAGAGATAAAAGAATCCATTAATCTAAATTTTTAGAAGTTTGGAATTCACTGCCAATCAAAACAAATCAAACTAACAGGATGCTTTTCTCTGTCAGAGATTAAATCCTTACTTAATAGAATATAAAATAGTTGCACTCGGTACTGCCACCGCTGAAGAAGCATCCTACCTCTCCTCTCTTCAGCTGCTGCAATCGGTAATGATCTGTCAAACCACAGTTATCAGGAGATCCTCTACAAGCAGCAGCTTCTTTTCTCTAGCACTGACAAAACCCCCATGTTTTCCTCCATGCCTCTGTAGTAAAGTAAACCTTACCTAATTTAATTCCCAAATAAAGGCTACAACAACAATCAGTACGTGTCAGTTCAGAAAAAAAATGTCTGCAGATGGATCTAAAAGATTGGTTGGTGACAGAAGGCTTATGCACATTCTGCTGCCTGAAAGACATGAAGAGTAAGCAATCTCCCAGCCTGTGTGCTTCCCTAGTCCCAGTACATCAGAAATTTCTGTTTTCCATTTACACAGAAAAAACACAAAGCCAAGAGAAGGGATACAAAGAAAGAAAAAGGAATAACACAAAGGTCCACTGATTTATTCCTCAAAACTGAGCAT